AATTTCCCGGCTCCGCACTCCTCGGGAAAAAAAACGCGACGACATACGTGCCCCAGCAGTACCACAAAGACTCGCGATGCTCCTGGGAGGCCCTGCAAACACTAAGCACGATATGTGCATGATACATGCCTCCAAGGTTCTCGGTAGAGTCCTTCATGGAAAACTGGCCCTCACGCGGACCACGGCCATCGGTGGTAGAGGCCGCCTGAAAGAAGCCTGACACTGCAAACATTTCATGCAACTAGTCACTCAATTTGAAACTCTGTGGTAGATGTGATGTGCGAGGAGATACAACGCCTGTCGTCTCAATGAGGCCCGCGAATGCGATGATTTGAGCGCCACCCAGCACGGGCAGCTTGGAAAGAGCTGCAAGGCCGTTGGGAATGTCCTGGCGCGAGCCAGTACGACTGTCGAAACGGCTACATCGCTACATCGAAGCTGCAATCCATCCATGAAGCTGAGTCGCAGAGAACTTCAAGCCCAACGAGGGGGACAAGAAGCCTACACAGCAAGATATCACCAGTCTCTGCACGGTGCATTGGCATCCACGCACCTGGCCAGCGAAAGTATTCCGGGACTATGTAGCCAATGGTCGCATACCTTAGCACTTCGCTCCAAGCACACCAACCAACATACACAACAGCATGAATCACAGCTGGAGCACATCGCGATGCGCCCATGCTTAAGCTCCACTGCGCGACGGCGATTGAAGGTGGCCTGTATGGAAAGCGAACATGCCGAGCATCCGGCATGTGCCGGCTAGGTACTGGTAAATCGGTGTACGCCTGCCTTCTAAAACCATAACCATCATGATTCATGGGCACCATGAGGCACTTTGCAACTTCCCCTTTGCCGAGCCTTGTCCTTGTCAGCCGCAAGCCCCAGAGGGTCCCAAAAACCCACAGGCTCCTGCACGCCCAGCTCCTGCAAGGATCGGAATTGAGAGTGGCCGACTGCGATGCTTTGGACTTCAGGATGCTGAGTTCGAAGTATGAATTCGGAGCAGAGCGTGTAAATAAGTTGCAGGGCTTGACATGGTCTGACTTGACATCGGCATTCTAAACGATCAAACACTTGAACACCAAAGCCGGGTGCACC